GAATAATTTGGGAGGTTAAACTTAGTTGGATGCAAAATTACCAAATGATCTCATCTATTATGAAATATACAATTTGCTTGTAGGGGCATAATAGTCTTTAACTTAATTAGTATTTTAAAAAACCAAAAAAAGGAGAAAAAAGATAAATAAGCTCCTAGCTTTTAGAAGAGGCCACATCATACATAGTGGTTTCTTCTTTAATATATATATAGATTATACGGTGCCATCATATAACGGTGCCATCATATAAAAAAATTTCTGGATCCATCCCTGATCTATGCTAAATGGTATGTTAAAATAGAGAAAAAAAAAGAAAGATTAGATAAACATCTCCAATAAGAAGTATTGAAATTAAATGTGTAGGAAAGATAAATATTATTTTATTAAATATAATGATTTTTTCATTAATATAATTAATGTTAGAATTGTTAAAATATAGTACATGCTGGAGTTGGATGTAAATTATTTTAGAGATTTTGACTTTTCAAACTCTATAATAAAAAAATTATATCATAACTGGTTGAGATGTTCAACGACTTATCGTTACAGAAATATTTAACAAAAGAAAAACAATTGTGGATTCATTTTCTACTTGAGAGAAGGCTAATATTTATATTTACGTATTTAAGTGATGCTCACCCTCACTTAGAAATCCTATCTCATACCCTGCCCACCGGGAATCGGAGATTTTTCTTGTCTACATGATTAAATTTTTTACTTACTATCTTTATATATTGTACATGTCAGTTTCACGAGTAAACGACAGGAAAAATGGAGGGTCTATATAGGGATATCTTTGGTATACCTAACCTACAATATGCTATCCAGTCTGTCTCGCTTGTCATAGTCACTAGTGAATGCATCACAATTATCATCAACATAGAAAGCCTATTACGTGTGGTCCACTCTCTGTTGCTTCTGAGAAATGAAACGGTTCTACCTAAATCAAATTAATCGGTTTCACGTGTTCAATTTTAGGAAGCTATCTCATCTTAGGGGCAGATTGGTGCGCCTTACAGAATATCTGTTAAACATATGTTGTCTCATCTCTTCATTTTCCAGCTAAAGGACTGTCAAGCTTTATATAAAGGCTACGTTTCAATGAAGTACAAGCACTATTACGAAAAAAATATCCAAGCAGAATGCTTCATCTCTTATCTTAAAGAAAATCACTTAAAAGTGCATGTGACATGTCTTATTTACATGCAACATTATGGTTCTTCAGTACCATATATATATGATTTTTTGTTAGTATATAAGAATATATATGTTTTTGTAACTGAATCCTGGCACTTACAGATATGGTGAACGGGCGAATCACGTTACTTTGCAAGTTGCTGCCAATAAGGTGTGTTTTCTCCATATATCAACTTCATCCAACAATGTCACTGTTAATATATTCAAATTATTCATATTTGCTGCTTTTTCTTTTCCCAGGTAGTTTGCTGCCAAAATATGCCTTTTAAACCTCATTCAGAGATACTTGTCTTATAGTAATTACTCCACAACATGAGATGCATACATGAGTATAAAATTTGGTGATTGCGCATCAATTTTTTTTTATTCTCTTGTAATTAGGATTCACCATGAATCTTAAACACCCGACCCCAAAAAGAAAAAAAAGTTAAAGCTAATCGTCCACAAATGCATAATGTGCATCGTTCTTCTTGGTAATGTCATATGATTCCAAAACATCTTAAAGAAATTCTTAAACTGTATATATGTGTAATTGACCCCTCAGGTCAATCAATGAACTCTGTACTCAGAGTAGTCTTGTATTTTCCATAAATTGCTCTTTCTATAGGGTCATGTGGATTTAATCCTTTCTCCTTGGTTTCCCTTTTAATACACACCAAGTTATGGCTAAATTTTTTGGCTGGAGGTGCACTACAATTCACTTTAGGAGATCCGAGGTGTGGTTTCTTTGCATTATGATCGAAGAAGAGTTCTAAAATTAGAGGGGGGGGGTACGCTGCTAGTCATAGTTACTCGTTTTGCAGAAGCTATGGTGCAACATAAGCCGAGAAAGAAGCACCGGTTATTCTAAGGAAAGATTATCGTATCTGGAACTGTCAACAACATACAAGAGAATGTCAAAATTCACATAATTTCATCTTTCTTTTTTCCTTTTTATCTGAAGGTTATAGCATATCAAATATCCCATTTGCGTTTATATGCATACCCCAATAAGCAAAGTGACAACCAGCCCAACCCCTGCTCACCGGGCAGATGTTATGTACATTTATGTCGAATATTGTTGTCTGAATTGTAAAAAAATTGTATCAACATGAATAATGAATTAATTTAATATGAATCAAGATCGCATATTATTCATCATGAATGTTGTATCATTCGTCATGAATAATTTATGAGCGTCCACCTTCACTATTCATAGGGAATTTGGACATCGGAGACATGTGTCACACTCTCTTTTATCATTTGATTTACAAACGAAAGTCGGTTTGCAGTTGAACTTATATATATATATATATATATTAAACAAAAATATTAATATATACCATTTCTTAAATAATAAATATTAAATTACAATACAGAAAAGGAAATAATGTGAAAAACAACATGTGAATCAACAATTTTATATTTAATATCAGATTTTATGCTGTTGTTAGATAATTAAAATATAATTTAATATATGTGTATATTATAATTAAATAAAGGAAAAACATAAATATAAAAATAGTACGGGATTTGGTAGAAATAAATGGGTGAAATCCAATCCAATCCAATCCAATAATAATAATAAGTTCCAGAAGGTGTAGGTAGGGTAGGAATTATCTGAATCATACTCCTCCCCAATTTCCTATTTAGGTTAACCTGACGAAGAAGATAAAACAGTCTACAAGAATTGTTGTGGCCATGGGTGCCAACACCGATCCCAACCACGATGGATCCGACGAGCAACAGAGACGTTCCGAGATCTATACCTATGAGGCGCCATGGCATATCTACGCCATGAACTGGAGCGTCCGCCGTGACAAGAAGTATCGTCTTGCAATCGCTAGCCTTCTTGAGCAGTACCCTAACCGTGTTGAAATCGTCCAACTCGATGACTCCAATGGCGAGATTAGATCTGATCCCACACTCTCCTTTGAACACCCCTATCCACCTACCAAGGTCATCTTCATCCCTGATAAGGAGTGCCAGAAGCCAGACCTCCTTGCCACTTCCAGCGACTTCCTCCGCATTTGGCGTATCTCCGAGGACGACGATGGCGGCGATGACGAAACTTCTCACAACGGCAGTAGCAGTTCCCGTCGGGTCGAAATGAAGAGCCTCCTCAACAACAATCGCAACAGCGAATTTTGCGGTCCGGTCACTTCTTTTGATTGGAACGAGGCCGAACCGAAGCGCATAGGCACTTCCAGTATTGATACCACCTGTACCATCTGGGACATCGAGAGGGAGACCGTAGACACGCAGCTTATTGCTCACGATAAGGAGGTCTATGACATCGCATGGGGCGGCGTTGGCGTTTTCGCATCCGTCTCCGCCGATGGTTCGGTCCGAGTCTTCGATCTTCGCGATAAAGAGCATTCCACCATCATCTATGAGAGCTCCGAGCCTGACACCCCGCTAGTTCGTTTGGGCTGGAACAAGCAGGACCCTAAATACATGGCCACCATCATAATGGACAGTGCCAAGGTCGTCGTGCTCGACATTCGTCACCCAACACTACCGGTGGTGGAGCTGCAAAGGCACCAGGCCAGTGTCAATGCCATAGCCTGGGCTCCACACAGTTCGTGCCACATCTGTACCGCTGGTGATGATTCTCAGGCTCTCATCTGGGATCTATCTTCCATGGGTCAACCTATCGAAGGTGGATTGGATCCCATTTTGGCTTACACTGCTGGTGCCGAAATAGAACAGTTGCAGTGGTCATCTTCGCAACCTGATTGGGTTGCCATTGCTTTTGCATCCAAACTTCAGATTCTGAGGGTATGATTGTATGGTTCATGTAATTCTGTGTTATCTTGGTTGCAGTGATTTTAGGTTGACTTCTCTATATAGGTTTGGGAATACACTGACAGTTGCTTTTTCTCCTATCCTGAATGACTCTTTAGTCTTTAGCATCTGTCCGATTATATGTTTTTGGTTTTGTGGTTTGCATCATATTTGCTTTTCTACTTCATTCATCCAAGAAACCAATACACAATCTTGACCCTGCAAGATCAGGATCAAAATTTGCAGCTTGTTTTAGTGTTGTGTTGAGGAACGCATTTTGGTGCATATCCTTTGATTGGACACCCAATGGACATTGATGACAATCTGGTGTTATTTCTTGATTGCGTCAGGGCATTATAATGTAGTTTGAAACGGATCACAAATGAAGACATCTCAAGAAGAGATGCTTTTTAAATCAATATTTGACAATAATATTTGACTTGCACATGAATGTACATTACGTATGCTCAATGAGCAGGGCTGCCTAACAATTGTCACTTTGTTTATTGGGGTATACAGATGAACTCAAATGGGATATTTGATATGCTATAACATTCACATAAAAAAAGAATAAAAAAGATAAAATTCTGCGATGTTTGACATTCTCCTGTATGTTGCAGCCAGTTCCAGATATAATCTTTCCTTAGAACAACCAGTGCTTCTTTCTCGGCTTATGTTGCACCATAGCTTCTGCAAAACAAGCAACTATGATTAGCAGCATACCACCACCCTCTAATTTCTGGATCTTTCCTGATCATAAAGCGAAGAAACCACACCTCGGATCTCATAAAGTGAATTGTAGTGCACCTCAGACCAAAAGCTTAGCCACAACTCTGTGTATTAATAGGAAACCAGGAAAAAAGTTTAAATCCACAGGACCCTACAGGAAGGGTAACTTTAAGGAAAAAAATACAAGTATACTGAATATGAGTTCACTACTTGACCTGAGGTGCCAATTATAATGCATATATACGGTTTAAGAATTTTAAGATGTTTTTGGAATCATAAGACAATTACCAAGAAGAACGATGAACATTGAGCATTGTGTGGACGACTAGCTCTAACTTTTTTTCTTTTTGGGGTGGGGTGTTTAAGATTTATGGTGAATCCTGTTTACAAGAGAAGAAAAGAAGTTGATGTGCAATCATCAAATGTAATACCTCGCGTAGGCGTCTCATGTTGTGGAGTAATTTCTATAAAACAAGTATCTCTGAATGAGGTTAAAAGGCATATCTTGGCAGCAAACTACATGGGAAAAGAAATGCCGGAAATCTGAATCATTTGAATATGTTGATAATGACATAGTTGCCTGAAGTTAAAATATGAAGAAAACAAACCTTATCAGCAGCCGCTTGCAAAGTAACATGATCCCCCCATTCACCAGATCTGTAAGTGCCACGATTCAGTTACAAAAACATATATATTCTTATATACCAACAGAAAATCAAATAAATGGTACTGAAGAACCATAATGCTGCATGCATATAAGACATGTCACATGCACTTTTAAGTGATTTTCTTTAAGATAAGATAAGTCACGACCCCGTACGAAGTATCCTACTTGGATATTTTTTTGTAATAGTGTTTGTACTTCATTGGAACATAGCCTTCGTATAGAGCTCGGCAGTCCTTCAGCTGGAAAATTAACAGATGAGACAAACATTAGCAGAAATGAGAAGACATATGATTAACAGATATTCTGTAAGGTACACCAATCTGCCCCTATGATGAGGTGGCTTCCTAAAATTGTACACATGAAAACCAATTAATTTGATTCAGGTAGAACCATCTCATTTATCAGAAGCAACACAGTGGACTACACATAATAGGTTTTTTATGCCAGTAATAATTGTGATGCATGCATGCACGCACTGGTGACTATAACAAGCGACATCGAGTGTATAGCATATAATAGGTTAGGTATACCAAAGATATCCCGACATAGATCATCCTCGATTGGCTCTCTGCGATCCTATCAATTGGTTTTTTTGACAGGACTCGCAAATTAAAGCACACAGAAGTACTGGTTGCAATTTCTTCGAATGTTCCAAAAAGAGGATGACTCAACAGACACTAGATCAATAATCAAGGAGTTAGAGCAGAATCAGACAAACAAATAAGAGTATTACCTGAGTCTGGTACAATAAAATGAAGACGTACTCCATAAAAGAACAGTAACTATGGGATTTTATAACCCGTTAATTCTAAGATTGTTGCTGCTCAAGAGCAGAACTATATTTAGCATGTCTGAGCTGAAAAAGGAAGTGAGAAATATCACTAGGCATATCACCAGATCCTCTGCCAGAATTCATGTTATATCCCTCCCAAATAATCACCATCTCCATCCAAGTTAAATGAAAATACCACCAAACCTTATTGATAAACTCGAGAGAACCCGTGCAAACCACATTCTTGCATATTTGAGGTAATATACGAAAAGACACGGCACTTGAGATAAGCATATTGCACACAGAAAAGCTAGTCCAGAACCAACCTGCTTCACAACCTCCTTCCGGACATGTTTGTGATACTCAGGTGACCGGTAGAGCTGGTCAGAAAGTGCACGGAACTGAAAGACATGAAAGAAAGCAATTTAATAATAATGAAAAAAAAATACATTGAAATGTACAGAAACCAGACACACCTGACAATTTCCGTCACCAGATACCTTCACTTCATATAAACCATAAACTTGTAATCTGAAGAAAGATACATACACTGTAAATACTAGGATGTCCTTGTTAAATGTTTGATTGCAGAAAGTATAGTAAATATTTGGTAACCATAATTTTTCAACTTCAGTCAATTAGGGACCATTCAAGTGGACATTCTCGGAGAACTACACCATTTTACTTTTTTCTTTACAATCTCTTCAGATTTGGTAGAAACTCCAATAAATTACCATCCTGTTCTGTCAGTGTTGAATATGAAAATTTCACGTTCCAAGGGATGTTACAATTAACACATTATTGCTTTACAATAGCATCCCCCTCCCGCAGCTCTTTGTTTGGTAAAGCTGAATATGTGCCTTTCATATTCTTGTTGTAAAGCTGAATATGCTAATAAATTTGCAAGCACAGAGATCAGCTTATAATGAAAAGACAACGAAACACGATTAGCTTTACCAAATGAAAAGGCATGGCATTCGGGGGACTAGTTGATTTGTAGTAAATTTGTGTATCACTTCGTTCCATGAGCCTGGAAAGATCAACTATGCAGCAATATGCATAATATAGGCCTATCCTGCTGACCTTCCCTCTTTTTCCATCCACAGTCTACACATTAACTGTTTTATCCCTTCCTGTCTTTTGCATGCTACGACCCAACTGTTATTATTGTTTTGCATACAAGCAGAACTGTACAATGTATAATTTACTTGCCACATTCGTTTTGTTACAAATTAAATGTTTACTTGGACCTTTTTAATTAAAATTAATAGATTTGACTTGGATGGATCCATTTGATAAAAGTTATTGTTAAAGGTTTAAAATTACAAATAAATTACAACTACAAATGAGGTTGCACAACCCTGATGCTCGTAAGGGCTAAATTAAGCTCCCAACAGTTCACAATCATATCAAAAAGGGCCATTCATAGTAGGTTTAGGGTTTTTGTGTGACAATGCCTAAATGAGATGCTCAAGATATCCTACATAGTCTAGGTGTGAAGCTCAAAATCTTTAAAACTGTTTCAGTTCTTTTCCCACACCTCTCTTCTATCACCTCTCAATCACATGCACCTGGTGAATCTCTAAAAGCAATGAAAAAACACCATGCGTCCACCCCTACCCACACCTAGCAGTAATGATGATAGTAATAATTACTAATACTATAGACATTGATGGTTAATTTACAATATCAAGCAAACTAAATACATACCTCTGACTCAATCGTTGATGATCCAAACTGGCATCACTTATATTGGGGATGAAGGAATTAATCCGTGGAATATGCTGAAAATGTCAAGAACATATAAATTAGACAAGAACCAAGTATGACATTTGGTGCCATAGAGGTAACTAACTAGGTAGATCTTCTAAGAATGGCATCATCTCATGATTGAGGTCATATACATAACAATCTATCTTCGCTCAAAGGCATCAATTTCTAGCTCCTTGAGAAGAAGAGGATAAAAGCCAAACAAAACCTAAACAGCAATTAGAAAAAGGGAATCAATACAGGCTTGCAATATGAATAGCATCCCTGCACACTCTAAAGTAACACACCCTCTGACTCCACAAATTCTCCCATAACTTGAGCTTGGAGCCTTGGACTGACATAGTAACTCATTAATTAGCACCACATCATCAACATATGGCATACAACATGGTCTTTACTTGTCTCTTTCGCAAGATCATAACCGAAGTTACACAAAATCAGGACAAAATGTAAATTGATAGCTAGGTTGTTTGTATATGACAGTAAGAGCTACGTTGAACTTGACACAATCAGCCAGTATTCTTATGTTATTCCTTGGGATGAACTTGTTTCCTACTCTGGTGAAGAATCCAATACCGCCTTTCGTACTTCATGTAAAATAGTATGGCTTATCTCGTCAACAAGAGACATGCTTGCAATATACTAACATTCAAATTCCTCTCTGCTATTTGTGGCCCATTCCTCACCCTTTCCCAAACAAATTTCCCTTTTCACCAACATAAGCGGAGCTTTACGTTGGAGATGGCCAAAAGCTCTCAACCTGAGTTGCCTAATTACTCACCCATCCGGGTGAGCTCACTTTTTCATAGTATTCTCATTTCTAACCCTATCTTTTTTGTAATTTGTCTGCATTCCCACTTCAGCTATTTCTCTTACACATCTTATGTACTTGTCTTTTGAACATTCAGCCAATAAATCAGAGGAACTCAGTACCAAAGTGTAGAACTTCCTCTTCAACCTTGGTAGTACTTTATTTTCATCCAATGGGTGCCATCACTTTGTCATCTAATCTTATCCAATGATTGGCATCTTAGTAATCTCTCCATACTTCTGCCACAATGTTGACCCCATATACCAGGATATATCCTTTTAAATTCCTTCTATTCCGACATGTTTAAACAACTTCCACACAACTAAAATAGCACATCCTCTGACTCCATAGATTTCTCTCATAACTTTAGCCTAACTCAGTAGCTCATCAATTAGCAGCACATCATTCGATAATAGCATATAACATGGTGTTTACTTATCCCCTTTGCAAGATCATTATAGCCAAAGTTACACAGGAAATCAGGATAATCTAAATTGATACCTAGGTTAACGCTATATACTCCCTCCATCCCAAAATAAGTGTCCACAATAGAAATAGCACACAGTTTTAAACATGCATAATCATTACACTTTCTAGTTAACCAAATGACAACTTTACCCTTAATTAATTTATCTCTCTTCACTACTCTTAAGTATTTGTGCGTTAATTAAGGATAAATTTAAGAATTTAGTTATCTATTTTTGAAACTAGACACTTATTTTGGGACAAACATAAATAGAAGACAAACACTTATTTTGGGTCGGAGGGAGTAACATTAAAAGCTACTTTGAACTTGACACAACCAGCCTTCTAATCGTGGAATTGGTATTTTTAACCTTATTCCTTGGGATGAAATAGATTCCCATCTCTGGTGCAGCATCCAAAAACGATGTCACCCATCCTACTTCATGTAAAATTGTGTCGGTTGTCTCTTCAACAAGAAACAGGTGTAGGAAATTCACTCACAGCAGGATGTCCTGTGATAATCAACTAAGATGTGTATGCCGACCTGATGGTCTGGATAAAACTCGTGCAGATTGATGTTCAAATAAATGACTTGGTCACACAATAAGCTTTGCTATCTGAATCATCTTACCGGAACAGGTTCCAGGTTGGTAAGGCGTCGACCAACAGAACCATCTAATTTAGCATACTCTTCAGACAATACAGCAGCAATCATCCCGTCATCCTCAACATCCTGCTGACTGCTCAACGAAGTTGAGCTAGAGCATTCACCAACACTGGGGGGATGATCAGATGAATGCGATTCAAAGGGAGGGGTTCCATTTCTCATCATCCAGAAGGATCACAGTGTTCAGGTTCTTCTATGAGAACTGCAAAACCTGAAGTACCCAACAAGCAAAAAGAAAGTTTTAGATGTTATTATGTTATTCAAAACATATAGCACTTCATAGAAATTGATAAGCTGTTTACTGTCAATGTCTTACCGTAACATTTAACATAGTGTTTCCCAGGTAAGAAAGAAGCAAATGTTGCATGCTAACATGAATGCTGAATTAGACCCAATTTTTTCCAAACTTAATTTCATTAAATTTAAAAATTCAACATGGATTTTGCAAACCAGGGCAGGAAGTAATCAATTAAACAAGCAACTGCTAACAGTAGCAACCTGAAATTTTAAGGATGGACCAAGTATTACTCTACAGAATTCGTAAAAGCAGGAAGAACAAACAATTATAGATAGATTTAGGTTGAACCTACAATTTAAATCTTTATACATACAAACACAGTTATGTCATTCCTTCACTTTGCTCTAATCCTCTTCCCCATCAGAGGTTTAAATACTGAAAAACGAAAGGAAGTGGCGTTGAGAGAGTAAACAGGGTCTTTTGATCTCTTCTTCATTTGGGATTAAAGTAAATGAAAAAAAGGGCCAAAAAAAAAAAAGATTTCATATTTGAAACAAGTTTGACATGTTCAATAAGGAAGAATCAGAAAATTCATCAAAAACCCTACATACACAGAAGACCCGTACCCTCTAGACCTAGATGCCACCAATCTTAAACCATTTGTAATGCTTTCATGACCCAGCATATCCAATACAGCAAGCTGACCCAAATAGCATCTCCCAAGTCAAAATAAAACCAAGAAGGGATGTCATAAATATAACAAACATAAAACTCGTAATCTGGTCATGGAGTAAAATTTCGAAGAAACTGAAAAAAGCACAAGATTGCATTCCACTTCTTCCAGATCCAGGATAAAGAGATGCTATTACCATAGGCAAGAATCATATAGAGGCGTCAAAAATTAGGGTATCGTATAGCAAAATTTATTTTCAACAGAAGTCAAATTCATTCGCCATCCGATCGCAAGATGCAAATTCGATCCTATATAGATAATTAATACAAAAACAAGACACAATCCATTGGAAAGACGATAAAGAAGGCAGAAGAATTAGGTTGAGATTAGTAGGGTTACCTTCTGGGTAAATTATGCGCGTAGAAGAAAGGATCAATCCGTAAGCAATTATAGGAGAGAATTGAAATTCAGATAAACGGTCGTTCAGCGGGTGATTGACTTTCAGGATTTATAATTGTATTTGTAGGTGGGTGGCAAGGCAAGCAACTCCAACCCAGATTGGGAAGGACCGAATAGGAACAAAATAACAACATTCGTGCTAGTTTTTATTTAATTTGTTTTTTTAGATAAATTACATAAAAAGAATAACGTATTTTAATTTGATTCTTATTTTGGGTAATGTATTTTTAATCTAATTTTGATATTTAAGATGTAAAGTGTTTAAAGTATCTATGTAAATAATACCGAGTTGGATATCACATCAATTGTCATATCAACATGATTTTTGGTTAATGTTTCAATCGGGTTACCTGGGTACTTAAATGTTTAAAACTTTACATCTTAAGTACCAAAATGAAAGTTTTGAAAATATGTTACCTAAAATAGGAATATTTTTTCATGCAATTTTCTTTATTTTTTTATTATTGTTTGACAATTGTTTAATGATTTGATGTAGGATGATTAAGTGGTCTGAATGATTTTATGAGATAGTGTAAAATGAAATATGATTGTTTGTTAATTGTTTAGAATAAAATTAGGGTTCTAAATGGTTTAGGGAGACCCAATATACAAAATCATTCAGAGAGATTTAGAATCATTAAGAGACAAAAAATTGTCAAACAAGATTTACCTCTTAACGATTTTAGATGTTGTCTCTTAATTGAACTATTAACAGATAAACAACAACTTGTCAATTTTGAAAAGTTTAGTCCCTAAACTTTTTTGAATGAAAAAATCATTAAATTTTTTATTTTAAATAATTAAGTCTCTGAAATATATATTTTAAATAAAAAGACATAAACATACTCTTTCATAAAGTTTAATTATCTTATTCCAAAAAAATTTAAAAACTAAATCATTCAAAATGATAAAGTTAAGGTTTTTTTACTTTTCCCTTAAATTAATCCAAAAAAGGATCGTATTTAAAATCGGGTCAAGTGTTGTTCTATATCTCCATGAATCTAGGAATTCTTGCTTGCCTCAGGGACGGACCTACTTTGGTAGTTATGGTGGCACGTACTATCGTATTATTCCTCCGTCGAAAGGTAAAAAAGATTAGATTCATAAAAGGTGTAACCATATTAATCTGTTGTGTATAACCGTATTAATCTGTTGTGTATAACCATATGTATTTGAAACTACAATGAAAACAAGTTTTATTTGATAGAATTGGTTTACAAGACTTTTATTTCACTCCAAACCCAAGTTCAAATCGTGTTAGTGTCATTTTCTTAGTCAAATAGTACCACCGATTGGAAAAAATTCCATATATTTGATAGAATTATTTTCCTATAGTTTTTTTCTTATAATCAAATTATGTCACCGTTTGAAAAAATTTATAGATTCGTCCATATACAATGTAGATACTAGAATTTGTATTCCTCCATAGTGATTATGATTTCAATTTACATTTTTTTTATTAACCTGGATATCCAACCTGCTATGCGAGCCGACTAATCCCAGGGAGACCACCTGCTTGGCAGATGGCCTGGGGTCACCGCATTTGAACCTCCATAGCCACAAAGGGATTTTTATTCCTCCTTGGATTTGAACCTAAGACCTCCTGGTACTTTTGACATTTGGAGTCAAACTCAAACCAATCAGGCACCACTCTTGTGGTTAATTTACATATTTTTTGGAGTTAAAGTAACTAGATTTAAAAATACATAGATAAATAATCATTTGGTTATTTTCATTTTGGGCAACATATTTAAAATTTATGAAGAGAGAATTAATTAATAGTAAAATTGTCATTTAGTTAACTAAATAACATAAGAGTCATACATGTCTAGAGCTAAATAACATTTCCATTGTGGACACTTATTTTGGAAATGAATAAGCAAAGCAACATCCGGAAATATTTTTCTGGAACTTTTGTCATTCCATTCATTATGGTTCTCGACAAGTATTGTAGCATTATCAAGAGTCATTTAACTGTACAATAGATAAATTTAAAGGGGGCACAATCCTTAAATCCTCCCCCATGATTGAACAAAATAGATTGGTCGACGGTGAAGTTCAAGAAAACGTGAGCTAAATGCACCTTTATATATTGCTAAATAAATACACCACCCTACTTTTAGAATAATATTTCTACCAAAATTTCAACATAATCATCATGTACACACTATATTTTATAGACACTATGCTTATTAGCCTGCTCACACACATCAACATCAAGACTTACTTTATACATTCTCGATGCATGATTTGACCTGATTCTGACATGAAATAGGTTGTATATAACATAACCCAGAAAGAAATGATCGATATTACAAAGTATAATAATAAAATATAAAGAACAGACTACATTACATTTTGACAAACAAAAGAATTTCAAGAATCAAAGTTGATATACATCCAAATCCAATCAAATCAAACAACTATACAACATCTTTTCCCAGTGGTACCTTCCTCTTCCCCAAATCAGTTACTACAAACATACTCCCTTTAGGCTTTTGGCTGTGATGACTATAGAAGCACAAAGAGAGCCAATCAATCAATGAATTTCATGTCAACTAATCCTCTTCACTTGAAGTAGTATCCAGCATATTTACAGTTTCCTCTACCGGAATCCTACTCCACCCCGTTGGGCTTCTTAACGATATCAATTTGGATCTATCTCCTCCTCTGAAACCTGTCATTTTTGATGAAACCATCGGCATTGCAAGAACTGATGAAGCATGCATTGTATCATCTCCCATACCCAGCAACAATGAGCAAGTACTCTGTACCCAAAAAACATTACAACAATTATTAACTTTCGTTCCATTTGCCCATCTGGAGTTAGAAAAGTTGCACAACCTTTGCCTTCACAGCCGCAGCTGAGGCTTTTGTTGCCATTGCTCGTGCAAGCGACTTCAAATCCTTGATTGGTGAATCTTCACATGGCTTGACCAACCTTTAAAAGGAACACTTGCATTACTTCCCAATAAACATGATACTAGTTTCGTATCTTACAACAAATTCTTCTTAAGAGGACTTCATTTAGTCGTTTCTTTTGCTTTCTTCTTGATACATGATCATAACCACTGCTACTCAAACTAATCTCATATACCTTTCTACATCAGATGTGACATTAGATGAGGCCACAGATGATAAGATATTATCTTTCACTTCTCCCCCTGGGAAACAAAAGAAACCAATCAGACAACATCCCAATGTTGACCTGGTAAGTAATCGTAACACGTAAATGGAGCACAAATATACCTTTCGAGTCATCAGGAGCCAGCAACGAAATTCCTATGAATACTGAAATCATTCCCAGAATAAACATTGCTGTCCTCAAGGCATCAAATACCTGATACAAAACAAATAACATTATACAACTTATAACACACAATGATTGTGCTTAGTTATAACTTATTGTCAACAAATATCTAGGATCATGATTGGACATCTATGGTTCTGATACCATGGAAAAATGATCCGTAAAAGGTGTGTATCATTGTATAATTGCAAACATAAGCATATACACAATGTATCTCTAACATACAACAAACAATGGCTCAGTTACAAAAATTTGTGCCAAAATTTAGTTTTGGATAACAATAAAGATGCCATGACTGAGAAGTTTCAGAGCATGTGAACATAATAACTTTGTCAAGGTATGTCAATTTGAGAGTGTTAAAAAGACGTACATAAGCTATGTGGGTTTTCTTATTATACCACGAGTCATGCCACTAGGATGAATTGTTTCGACAGTTCTTAAGGAATTTGCATCAGGTTTAGAAAGGTGAAGCTAATTAACTTAAAGACATCAAATTGAGGTTGCATAGATTGAGAGAGATGCATTCTCATCTCTCAACTGCTTAAACTCACCACAGAAAAGAGCAATCAATCTCACAAGTCACAATTTGATATATAGGGAATGTGACAAGTTTGTTCGCTATTTTCTTTTTCTGTTCACTGTCACACCTCTATTCTTAGTAATACTCAGCCATCTATTTCTTGGAGATCCAAACTGTCATGAAGTCATATGTCTCTAGAGATTTTTAGTCATAGAATCATACACACTCCTAACTTTTCTTATCCCATATGCGAAAGGGATAGAGAGAGAGAAGACCAAGGCAAGAGCCTAGTGGTAAGGGCTACTCCCTAGCTCGTGCAAGGTCATAGATCTGAATCTCGCCCCTTTCATGGACTGCATATATATATATATATATATATATATATATATATATATATATATGGCCAGGTTCAAGGGAAAACCGAAAAAATATGCATACAAGTAATTTCTAAGCAATTTGGTCCCATATGCACATGTGCATAACATGCAAACGTGCATAAAAACCAAGAAACAAATTCAATTACTTATAGGCACATTTGCATACCATACAGATGAAGGATTACTAGAGTGTTCATCAGATTTCATTTTTGGGGGGTTTCCCCTACCCTTCCCTCTATATATACATATATATATATAGAGAGAGAGAGAGAGAGAGGGAGGTTAGGATAGCGATGGAAATAAAAGATTGTGAGAAACATAGGAAGGTTATAAGTTAGCATAAGTTAAAAATAAATTATCATACATTAACATATCTTAGCATGAAATTTAGAGCATCTCCAACAGATTCTCCAAAATGAAGATTTTAGGGATTTTTGCTCCAACAGATTTTCCAAAATGAAGATTTTAGGGATTTTTGCTCCAACAGATTCTCCAAAACCTTCTCCAAAATGGAGAAAGTATGAGAGAGATGATGAAATTCTCCAAATTTAGAAATTGCTCCAAAAATGATTACTTATGAGAGGAAATGACTTTTTATTCATTCTACCAATGAGATTGCTTGAATTTAAATGTTTAGGAGAGAGAAATAATATTTAATGAGTTGTATTGAATATTTTAATAATATAACTAATTGTGCAATTTCCAAAATATAGAATCTGTTGGAGATGAAGGTAATTTTTTTGGATATTTTGATTTTTTTACTTCTCCATTATGGAGAATATGTTGGAGGTGCTCTTAACATATGTTAATGTGTGTTAACATGTTAACTTATGTGAACATCCGCTAACAAAGTACTTCGTACGCTTCCTACGAGATTTTGATTTCCTACCTGAACACACAACCGGTACATATTTTATATATAGATAATATAGACGAGAGAAAGAGAGAGAGAGAGAGAGAGAGAGGGAGGAAGAGGAACCTGATATTCCTGGAAATACACAAATCCAGTACAAATCGAGAAAAAGGTCCAAGCTATCTGAAACATGGGGACTATAAGTATCGCATCGAACTGTGATAATCCTTCATTCAACCTTGCCATCTGTGGATACGGTATATGTATAAACAAATCAATATCATCCAAACTTGCAATACAAACTTTTCGCATTCATTTACAATAAAAAGCATGAATATGCTATTAATCATTACCCAAAATCCAGCAGTACATAGAAACAATAAAAGAATGGAATATGTGAACCAGCTATCCAAGCGATATGAACTTGACATGGACAATCTTAAAAGGTTTGAACTGAAAAAAGAAGAAAAATAGTTCGTTAGTACTGAGTGACCAAATTAGAGCCAACAAGACCATAGCATTAAGCAATAGCTCACAGGGACTTTGCAAAGAGAACTGAACAGGATCCTATGGCTCCTGAAACTACAGCAAATGAAAAGGGAAGCAGCAACTTCCAGTAGGGCATAAGATCCTTTCCTGGAATAGCAAGCAACAGCTCTCCTCTCCTGCTTATCCAGATTTATGAAAGCAATCAGATGAAAAAAACGCAGTTAGCTCATACATGAAAATGACCATCCAATGTTCTTTCAACTTGAAGGATAACTACAATGCTCCTAACCTGTATACATAGTGATGCATGACAACCACCAAGATCAAAAGCACACAGTAAAGAAGAAAAGTAGTGTTGCTGTACTTCTCTGCCAACTGCTCTTGTGTGTAAACTGTAAAATTAACATACATGTACACATGAGGGTGAGTAAGAGGAAGAATCGGCTGATAAAAAACATGTAACATAGAATATGACACGAGAAATCCCCACATGATCATAAAATAGCAAACTATTTTAATGGATAGTGAAGTATCTTCCAAAGTTAACTTTTCTGCTTTTAAATTTCTTTAACTGGAGGTGCGTGAACTGTCAGACGAATAGAAGCTATATCAGGAATTATACTTCCAATTTGAAGCGTTTAGTAATATTACAGTCCATTAAATGGAGCTCAGTTTTACAGAAGACTCCAAGCAGGAGAGGAGCGCAAAGTGTGTCACTTTCAAGTCAAAGGCAGGAGATGAGCAGCAGGTCTTCAAAATTTGTGATGGCAAATAGTAAACTTGTATGGTTTGACATAAGTGAACTATAATTTTGAGGTTCAAGGTTAAAGTTGAGCAATCTGGATGCCCATTAATATATTTCGGAATCTGCACCTAATTTCTGTGACTGTTGGTTAATTTTCTTTCATGAAGCTTATAAAGCCAATTTTTGGATCATGTAAGAAAACTACACAAAGAAAATCATATACATGCAAGGGAATATATGGTCTCTTACTTCCAGATTTAATACTGAGTAAGGACTCTTCCAGTTAGCACTATGTATATATCATCTCATAATAAAACCATACTGAAACCCTAATTTGGACTTAGCGAGCACAAAAACTACCCTTAGTAAATTATGGATCAAAAGACTGTATAGGCTACATGAAGATCATATGGATTACAAACAGTCTCATGCATACACATCAACGAGCTTGATACATAAAAAGTCAACTCAAGCAAGGCTCCGCAAAATATTGGAGAGCTGCAAATTAGTGGATATGCATGGGAATAAGAGAGACTTGGAATGTTCGATGCTCTTCTCTCCTCACTAAATAGAACCAACTCAAATGTAGAGGTAACAAAGGCACCATAAGCGTGCTACACTCCTAGTGTCAGTGTGGCATTAGTGAGAATATCATTTCCTTAACTTTTTGCATAATCCCCATCTTGTTTATAACCAGACAGTCTGGTTAGCTGACAATCTAACAAAATCCCTGGCGATGTCTCGTGTTGACTTTATCTGTGACAATGAGCAAGATTGTCGTCTATGCTTCCAAATTGAGATGCATAGATAGCATTGCTTCCATTAGGTAATCATTAGATAATATTTCATTATTTTTCTTGTTTGTGTTTCTGGGCCCACAGCCCCACTTGTGACCAATATTTACACAGGGTCTGCCGAGAAATATTTATCACCATAAAACACTAAATCATGGCACTTGTAGGATTTCCTGAAATTTTGAATAACAATTTTCACAAAAAAGAAATAATATCATTCAAGAGAGGACGCTTGGCACAGATCATAGAGGAAAGTAAACCAATGTGCTATACCAGGTGATTGGTGATTGCCAAACGCAACAAGAAAGGTGTTGCCAAGGACGATAAAAGTTGTGGCAACTAATACCCTGCATAAGAAAAGGTACAAATGTTACCGGAAGTAACTTCAAATTATATAACGAGAAAAACATGATGCACATTCTATAACATACTTGACGGTCACTGTTTTTTGCAAGACAAAGTAGGCAAATGCGATGTTCGACACAAACTGGACAGATCCCAATGCTGCAAGAAGTGACTGCTCAAGCAGAAAGCAATACATAAATAAGAAAAAAGAAAATAATAAATAGAGAATCAGAGTGAAGGAATGACAATTGAAATAATGATCTTAGATCATCTAAACCAGGCATGCACTTATCATCTGGGACGAAAATGGACTCCCATTGTTTTATCTAAGTTCACTCCACTGCAAAAATGCAAATTTCGAATTTGAAATGTTACTTTTTAAAATGGCTTTGATGCAGCAGAGTTCACATAAAGATAACTAGGAACAGAAGTTCTATTTCATAGTAGATGAAGTATTTAACATTTTGGAACATTGAGAAATGAAGTGAAATAAGGAAACAAATGGAAGGTGCTAGTAAACCATATATTTACGATTCTAGCAATCAAAGAACATCTTCCTACGGACCTGAGCAGCATATCCGAAGGAAATAAAGTTAAGAGCGTTTCCAAAAGCAAAAAATAGAATACCTGTAAACAGAATGGGATAAACTGATATGAAGCATAACTTAGAAAGAATAGACAAAAAGAGTGTGAGAATTTTTAATTTACCGATTCTCCAAGACTGGAAACTTATGATAGGCTTCAGTAGCGTCTTTCCATTTATTCCTCCATTACCTAGCACAGCATGTTTTTCTCTCTACAATGTTTTAGTCATAACTCATGTTAAGCACTAAGGATATATGAATAGGCACTTGGGAAAATCCAGTACAGCTTATCGTTCATAACTCATAACTCATAACAAACAGGACATGCAAGAATTATTGCAAATCAGGACATGATATCCAATTTATACATCAACCAAGTGTGATTGTGGTGGTCATGTGTACTCCATGTTCATGTTATTACTTTGTTAGACGATAAGTAAACCAAGAAGAATTTGCATTGAGCTTCTATTGATTTGGGAAAAAATGAAATTATGATAGAGAGTCCTGATGGTAGGTGTCGGAGATTACGACTACATAACAACAAACATGATGACACGGAGCTACTGTGATAGCTAAAACTAAACAGCTTCGTAAGTACTGTAAATTTATTAAAGACGAGCTTTAAGTATTGTAAATGCATCATCCTGGAATTTTACTACTCCAATGTCAATTAATGACACACATAAGTACCTCAATGTTAATTTATGGAATAACATTGCCAATAACTCTTTATTGATTTGTATTGGCCCAACCCCCCAGATTAGAACTCATACCATATTATGAAAATAAAGACGATCCACAATCTAAAAAAAGGACATCGAAGTTCAACATGCATGCAGCTGAAACAGCATGTCTTTAGCAAAGAGTAGTCATGAGTTACAGAAATACACATTCCAGCTTACTACAAAGGAATACTTTTAAAACTCAGAATAAAAGATCTTGAGTAAGAAAAATGGTGCAGAGCACAAGTCTCACGAGAAACAAAGAGAATCAGCGAGTACCTCGTCATGGCCCAATTTAAGAAGATTAGTCCCAAAGTTAATGGCAATGCTGCCAAAAAGGTTGATGAAAGCTCCAATTACCCACTCGCCCATAGATTAAAAATGTCTATGTGACAGAGGTATTCCTAAAACATACAATGGAGATGGCCTTCAGAAATCTCCAAAAGTCAGGAGGCAGTAATCAAAGGAAGAAACTGCACAACATGAACACTTTCTCCAACATCCATCAGGGAGTCCACTTTGTCTTAATAGAGTGAGAAATGAATTGCCTGCAAGCTTTTATTTTCACATAGAACACGTTAGTTTAGAACCGATGAGGGACATGAGAATGCAGTTAATGAGCACAAGTAATTGCAGGTCGGGTAATGCTTTAAAAGGGTTTGCAACAATAAACCAACAAGTTATAAACGAAAACCGATAATGGTTGATCAATAGAAGCGAAACAGATAAAAATGGTGGAAACTGATCCCGAAAGTTTGGTATTAACATTGATGAAAAGCAGTGTGGTTAGCTATGGTAGTAGTCGTCTAGACGAAAACCCTTGTTGGGTCAACTAAACGATCAATCAAGTAACAACGCTGTAACGTGCAAAGGAAGAAAAGGTAGAGTTATGGTTCTTATGGAAAAGAAAGAAAAATAGTCGACCAATAGAAGGGAAACATAAATCAAACAAATATGATGACATTATTGCCAGATCCCATGTTATAATACAACAATCTAACAGCTTTCCTGATGATATATTATCCCCAAAATGGCTACAAATTAAAAGGTTGCGTTAAACCATATTGATCAGATCGGCTTCAATCAAAAACAGAAACCATAGATCCGAGGCAGGATATAGGGTAAGAGTGGTAGTTAAATCCAAGAATTTGCGTCAGGTAATTTGTAAACAGAGAGAAGTCAAGAGGAGAAGATTCCATACCTCCTCAGGTATGAAGAAACAACAATACAGCTTGCTAGAAACCAATCAGCTATCGTGGAATAAGAATCGCCGGGGGATCGACGCTGCGGCGTGAATCAAATCTCGGAATTTGTTTACAGGTAGTATTTTGATAGGAATATATGATCAAATTATACACCTCAAAGATTTGAATACGAAGAAGAACCCAGAAAAAAAAAGGCACAGATTGAGATTTTGGGGGAAATCAAACAAGAATTTGAACTGGAATTGGAACTGAAATGAAATTGAAATTGAAATTGAAAATGGAAAGAGAGAAAGGAAGGGTGTTGTGTTTTTGGACCAAGAAGGGTCCTCGTGTTGATGGGTAAACGAGGTCATTTGGTCACATTGGGTGGCTTTTGCAAATCGCACGTGACTTCCCAACGAAGCAGCCGTCGGCGACATTACCAACTACGACAATTCTTCCTTAGGGCTTTTAAATTACTAAACTACCCCTTAACGTTTTGACTACTCTTCTTATTTTCTCAGTTGACTATTTTCTTCGTCTTCCTTTTATTAGTCAAATCATACCAAATATCATGGAAGTGTTTGGATGTGTCCTAAATTCCATTATAATTTTCTTTTCTTTTTTAATTAAAATAATATATTCCGAAAATTCGTTAAAAATTTACTTCAATTATTCTTTATTAATAAAAATGGTTGTAATAATAACATATCGCATCTTACAGCAGCAAACGGCTTTTAAACTTCAGGATTGGTTTTCTCTCTTGGTTTCTCTTCGGCTTTTAAATTTAACACGAAAACTGTTGCAAAAAGTTGTTCAGGTAAATCATTTGTAAGAACAGGGTAGTTACTTGAACAACATAACCGGTTCTTGTATACTTAACGTTATATAAAATTTTGTCACTGATAAATTGAAATGCTCATTTGTGAGGCTATATGAGCAATGGTTATATCAACTTAAATGGTAAAAGGAAGTGAATTCTATCACTGTCATCTAATAAGAATAATATGGAGATAATTAATAGTAGAGTCAATTGAGATAAGTAATATCTTATAAGCGAATCTCCTTGCCCCTAACAGCTATAAAAGTGACAACGTATGTTATGATAAGAAGGACGAACAAGATGTATGTCAAAAAGACAAATTCTATAATGGCAGGTGGCCCTCAAGTTTTGAGTCCCATATCATACTTGATTGATCCGTCGACACTGCTAATCACATATGGTATATGTGCATCCACATAAAAGGAAAAGACTCTCTGGAGGGCCCACAAGATGATCACTAGAGAAAGATCGAGGACCCAAGGCCAACATTAATGACAAAGAGCCTCGAGTGGCAGGCAAGTATGATACTGAGTGTAAATAGCACTAATATGCAAGTACAAATACAATCACACATGGTCTCAATAGTTTTTTAGCATGAGTAAAAACGGTCAGGATGACCCATTGATACTTTTTGTTCATATTTTTATTTAATAAACAATCAATATTGACGTTCAAAAATAAATGATTTAAAAGGTTGTAAGCATTTAAATACACTTTCCAACCAGTTTTTTAGCATCTGTTATATCAATTTAACCCATTAAAGATAAAATATAACCAAGATCGACCTATTTTTAGATAAATGGGTTGAAATTATTCTCTATTGTATACACAATGCTATAAGAAATAACTGAATCAACTATTGAAGAAGCCATCTTCATCATTTGGCAGTTGACATCAAGCAAAGCTCTATCAATACATTGGTCCAAAAATTGATTTATAGTCACAAAATCATTGCAAAATTCTCAAGCATGATAGAATGTACAATGATGACGTGGAAGTTCCATTGCAGGTAAACTGACAAAAACTACGGTAGTAACCAATGTGTTGCGGTAAATATCGCATAATAGTGCAAACGACATCTTGAAATGTGTTATGGTCCCTCATCTACAACTGGACCACATTGCAGATGTCCTAATGCTAAATGCAAACTGCTTTGATGCAATTACAAATAAACCAAGGAGCCCACCAGAGGTTTGTCTGGGGAGGGTAACATCAATGTAGACCTGACCTCTATCTCAAATAGTAGAGTGGTTCTTTCTGTAAAAACCCCTAGCTTGTGAAAAGTGTAAGAAAGAGAGAGTAACAACGAACCTTAGAATTTGAAAATCTAGATATAAGCAAGCAATGAAACATAAACCCTAACCCCTACCCTCTACCTCTGCAGATCCCTTCCTTTCAGTCTAGATCTTCACCTCTAGTCTGCTACCCTGCGTCTCCAACCAAAGTATCTGGTGTTGGATCAACAATTTTTGTTTTGGATCACCATTTTAACCAACATTTTATGGATAATCAAATCAACTACCATTATGCACATTCACATCAAACCTGTATAAAAAGGGCTTTGTACAATGCCATAAATAATAATAAATAATAAGTAACTTATGATGATAATTACAATAAACCAGCTAACTAGTTACAGAAATATCATGTTCATGTATACTCCACCATCATCAACATGAATCATGCCCAACCCTGTCTAAAAGGGTATGTGGGCTGTGTGCATACACCCCCTACTAGTGGTATAGTTGCAGCATCATTATATGGGTTCGGGTTTAATCTACACGACAGAAACAGTTAGGTTCAGTTAGGTTAAGTTAGGTTAGGTTCCATACCGAGCTGCTTGCTTATGCACCATCTTGATTGCTTCTGGTGAACATACCGCTCCTTTAGTATCTTATAAGGGTCGGTAATGCAGAATGAATTTCGGCTAACAAATGGAAGATCCAAGTAAGGAGCTGATCTCTTGGTAGATCGATAAGTAATTCCGCCTGTCACACAACATATCCATCTCAGATTTGGAATGCAATCAAAAAGGCACACAGTCTTAGAAATATGTAATTATTACACCATTTAATTAACTAAATGACAATTTTACCCTTTTTGTGGAAGGGTGTCCCAGGCTATGCCCCGCAAATTGTGACTGTAAGAGATCAACCTTAATAAACTCAGTGGCCACAATTGTTGAGGACGCCTGAATTGAACCCAGGGCAGATGAGATATTCCACCATATCCCCCTAGGCCTCAACCACTATGCCACAACCCTTGTGGTTAACAATTTTACCCTTCATAATAGAGGGAATAATGAATTTCTCCATCTCATAATTAAGGGTAGAATTGGAAAGTAGTAGGCACTTACTTTCAAAAGTGGACACTTGTTTTGGGATGGAGGGAGTAACAAGTAACTAGAAAAGACGTCTTTTGTACCTTAATTTCGTCTCCTTCAAAGGCAAGCATGTTGCGGTGAACATCTGAGAGCATGGCTTCTGTTATCATCTTGAACACCTGTTCCCCCATGTTTGTTTTCATTCCCACGGTTTTTCCCATGATGTAGATTGTGGTGATCCCAATATCTGCTGCCATTCTCCTCACGTAAAGTTTTTTCAGTAAAACTTCCATGGCGTAAGGCTCTTTTCCATACTGCCTCCGCAGATCAACTGTAAATTGCACCAAGCTCCAGGTGTCTTTTTCCGCAGCTTTCTCTGCATCATTAACTACTTCTATGGGGTTGTCCAGATAATTTATGTACTCTGAAGAGAGACGAGGATTTATATCCAATTCAAGCTGACATAAAACAACAAACAAAATCAACAGACCGATCTACATCCTTTGATTATCAATGACAATCCAACAAGAATTTAATACCATCACCCTCTTCCCCTTTTAAGAATTTAAGCTAATTAGACCCGCTTTGCCCTCATGAGATGCTCAATTCTTGATATGCTTAAATACTATATCTTTGGAAAAATAATGTACATGTGGCTTGTAAGTTTATCAAAACACTATTAAAATAGTACTCCCTCCGCCCCAAAATAAATGTCCACGATGAAAAAGGCACATAGTTTTTAGAAATGTGTAATTATTACACTTTTTAATCAACTAAATGACAATTTTACCCTTAGTAATGAAGGGAGTAATGAATTTCTCCATCTCATAATTAGGGTAGAATTGGAGAGTAGGCACTTACTTTTGAAAGTGGACACCTATTTCGGGACAAACTAACATAGAAATGTGGACAGTTATTTTCGGACGGAGGCGGTATCTTGCATAACCCACATCAGAAGAGGGAATCATATACCTTGACTGATTCGTAAGGAACTGGACGAGTTCGATGTACATCAACCTGGTTTTCAATAAGAACAAGATTTTGCAATTAAGTTAAAGGGAGCAAAGCAGTTGAATGCAACAGGACTGGGACAAAGTAAATCATATTGAAGAGGATTGCAGGAGCTAATGAGAATCCCATAACACAAGAAAAAGTTGCATATTTCAAATATCGTATAAAAGTTAACTGACACAGAGAACCAGAAAGGAGAAACATAATACCATCGATAAGCTCTCAAAAAGCATTTCAAAGAACAGATCAATGCCTACGTTGCCAATATCCCCTGTTTGTTGCACACCAAAAATATCACCAAATCCCCTTATAGCCATGTCTCTTTCTGCAAGTTGTAAGCCTTGACCAAGGTCACTACATTCTTCGAGAGCTGTCAACCTTTTCTGTATTGTTGCAAACACTTATATTTAGTAGTAATATTTTTGTATCAAGATACCCGTCAACAAAGTTTTCCAGATGTATGCAGAAACCAAAACAAATGATGCTAAATGCATCGACCACTTGTTCCCATTAACAACCTTGTTTTGAAGGAATATAGAGCTATTAGTTATGCTAAAAGGAAGCTAAGGAAGTTCCATACCTTTGCTTCTGGAGAAAGTAACAACTTATTAGGATAGAATAGATGAGCGTGAGCTTCCTTATCTGTCCTTCCCACCCTTCCACGCAACTATACCAACAAAGTTATCAAACAAAGAAAGACTAAAAAAACTCAGGACTAGGAAAGAAAGCCAGAGAACTAGATGCGGGAGAGGCATGAGTGTAGTTCGACCAGAAAAATGCATATGAACTTGCGATGGCTGATGAATACAAAACGTCGATTATTTCTAGTAGTAAAGAAAACAACTTTCCAAAACTGATAGAATAGAAAATGATTGATATTTGAGATTTTCATTGATTATTTCCTATTATATCATTCATATATCGTATGCATGTTATAGTCTTTAAGAATACAGCAGGAGCCAAGGGGTGATGGTCAGGAAAGAACCTGATACAGCTGTGCAAGCCCAAATTGCTGAAAGTCCTGGATTACGATGGTGTTAGCATTTTGAATGTCAAGCCCACTCTCAACTATATTTGTGGAAATTAGAATCTTGATTTCTCCATCTACAAATCTTGTCATGATTTTCTCCAACCGTTTTGAATATAGCTGCAGAAAATACAGAGGTGACATTGTGAAATGACCACTAACTCAAAGGACAATAAACCCTGGGGAAAGGGGGCTTGGAGAACCCCGGGGGGGGGGGGGGGAGGGGTGTTGAAGATCTATTATTTGACAAAAGTTGTCACACATGTTTGGGAATTTCTATGAAATGGCCAAATGAAATAAGTTTCTGACCTAACACACTTAAGTCAAAGATATGAAGTTCACTCACCATGGCATAACAAGAAAATGGCTATATGCAATAAAAAAATCCCTTGAATTTAACAAGAAAGTTGCACGCTTGTTGTAATAGTTGATGTTGGTCCAAGGGCCAAAGTTCATTGGTTAACATAATGGGGAAATCCTGCTGCAATTGGTTTACTATTTATTGTAAATAACAGAAAAAAGATTTACCTGTCCATGAGCAATGGCAATTTCAACATCCGGAAATGACTTCTCAAGAAATGACAGCACCTCTTCAAGACCTGCGGATAGTAATAAATTTCATTTAACAAGATCACCAAGTAACAACAAGCCTATATACTTCAAAGATCCCTGGTGAAGTGAAGTGAAGTAACGGCTCTGACTTGAAATAGTCAAAGTCGAAGTCAGAAGCATCTCCATTTCCAAATGCTAGTTAGTTCGACCCATTCAACATTAAGACTAGAGCATATAGTGAACTTGCATGAGTGTGCAATGAGACTTCAACACAGTTACCTTGAATACGAGGTAAAACATAGAAAACCTGGCCTCCACGATCCAGCTCATATTTGATTGCGGATATAACCTTTTCCTCACTATACTCTGAAAGATGGGTTTTTACTGGAACTCTTTGAGGAGGTGGTGTTGAGATCAAGCTGAGAGGAGATGAGAAAGAATTATGATGAGAGGAAAGGATTGTTATTCCATACAAATTTAATGTTTTACTGGTTTCTCAAAGTAAATCATGCTGACCAACATCAAATTGCTAAAAGGTTACAGTCACACGCTTGATGAACCTCATACAAGTAGCAAAAATGCAAATTATTCCAACAATGAAAATTTGCGAAGTTTTCAAACTTAACTAAGATAATTAAAAAGTGTGATAGACCCATGATTCAACTTAATATAAATGTATAGGATTTGATACTCAGTCAAGCAGAAATGCCACACTTGCTAAGGTATTACCTGCAATCACGAAACCCAGTTAATGCTAAATAGAGGGTTCTTGGTATGGGTGTTGCAGAAAGAGCAAGAACATCAACTGAAGTTTTAAATGAAGCAATCATCTCCTTCTGTTTGACACCAAACCTCTGTAAARCAAAGACAGAGTATCTCAGGAATCAAGCATTTTTCATATAGTCAAGCTTTAGAAGAGGATATTCATATATGAAGCTACTGGAGAGACATCARAAATATTCAACTGCAACATCCCACTCAACTTCTTACACAGGATTAGCAAAGAATCTTATAATCTAAAACAATGCTGACTGACGAGAAAATATCTAAATATTTGAATAATGAAACCTCAAACTTCGCAGAATAGATGCAACAATATGTTAATTTTACCAGTTTGGTTTGTATCTTATGTTTAGGTTGCCCCAAGGTGTTGCTTCTTTATGATAGCAAAGACCCCCTTCAAAAGTTAGTTAGGGGCCAAGGTGACATGTAGTTGTTCTGTATGTTACACATAAGTTGTTATGTATATGAGGGCTGCCGTCATTCCAAGACACTCTTCAGTATTGGGTCCGCGTCTGGGCCCTGCAGCGTAACTAGGTTCTTTTTGCTATACTACCTCTAGCCTGTATTTCATGTCTATGGGCCTAAGATATCCAATTTCTGCCTTATTGGGTATCATCCCTAACACTTTCTTTGTAGAAGGCCATTCTTGTTAATAGGAGGAATTAGCTAATTCAAGCTCTTTGCAATCTTTTCTAGGTCTGCAACRACAAAGAAATTTTGCAAAACTGTGGATTCTAGCTAAGCTTCGAATCTTTTTTGCAAGTCAGATGTCTTCTCGGAAACAGCCTCTCTACCTCTCGAGGTAGAGGAATGCGTATATCTTACCCCCAAACCCTACTTCCCGTTGCACTATTGCAATTTTTCATGATCGGAACATGGGTTAGTAGCACAACTTGAGGTAACTTCAAAAAAAAAAAAAAAACTGTGATGCTAGCCATGTTTCCAATAGCACAAAAAAAATGATCTTTACTTCTTTTCTTCTTATCCTACGGTATACGTTTTCAACCTCCCCCCCCCCTTCCTTTTAAATTTGTAGAACAGGCTATCTCAAGCTGCATTGATAAATTCTTTATATCAAAAGGTAAGCACGATTATCCTTGATAAAAACTAGCTTCTTACTCCTGTCTTTAGATTATGTTAAAAAACATTAGAATGAATTTATAGCTACCAGATTTGTGTATCACTANCCCCCCCCCCCTTCCTTTTAAATTTGTAGAACAGGCCATCTCAAGCTGCATTGATAAATTCTTTATATCAAAAGGTAAGCACGGTTATCAAAAAATGTTAAAATGGTAATTGCGAAAGGAGGCAAACCTGTTCTTCATCAACAATTAGAAGACCTAATCTATCATACACGACACGGCTGCCAAGAAGCGAGTGAGTTCCAACAATAATATCCAGATGCCCATGTTCGATCATATGAAAATACTCCTCCCTCTCTGCTCTGGTCTGCATGCTGTAAAAGGTTAGGTCCATAGCAAGGTAACTAGTTGAGTATCATGGCCCTACTTTCCAAAAATGGCAGCACAAGTTTCAAATGAGTTGGAGTGAAGTAAGAGTGCACAACTATAGCAAGTTCATAAGAACTTGACATCTACAATCATTACAGTAAGTAATGAATAGCTGCAAAATATTACACTTAATTATACTCCTTCCATGTTCCATTCCATCAAAATTGCAATGTTTGAAATTTGAATCAACACATAGTTCCATACAAGTGTTTGACGATTAATCATTTGTCCAAGATATACTTCAATAATAAGAGAAAAAGGGATTTTCGTAGACCGTAAGTAAAAAAGAGTAGCATCAATTGTTTGCAACATTGGTTATGGGCAAGTAAGCAATTTTATCTTGTATCCATTTTTCATGATATTATGCATGGATCATGGCGAATTCTTCAGAAAAAATTCCGTCTTCCACAATGGAATCTGATAAGTGAGATTTCGAGTAAGTGTTTCCATAATCTTCTTCTGTCCGAAGAAATGATTCATCGAAATAATGAGTCACCATTGATATCGACACATCTGACAAATGTTCGGGAGTTCCTCTATGCAATCCTTTTCCTTCTTCTTCTTGTTGCATATCTCGTTTGTACACGTCTTCTCTTTGTTTTCGGGGCCTCTAGCGAGTTACAGACAGAGTTCGAAAAGGTCAAATCTTTGATCATTCCATCATCTATGATTGAGTTGCGAAAGCTTCTGGATAGGTATCCTACATCTGAACCAAATTCTTTCTGGTTAAAGAATATATTTCTAGTTGTTCTGAAACAATTAGGAGATTCTCTGCTATTGGGGCTATTGGGTGGTGGTCCCGCTTATGGGGYCAAATCAATACGCTCTAAGAAGAAATATTTGAATATCAATCTCATCGATCTCATAAGTATCATACGGCCCTTCCACTCGGCACCGTCGGATCACTAAGGCCGACTTTCGTCCCTGCTCGACGGGTGGGTCTTGCAATCAAGCTCCCTTCTGCCTTTGCACTCGAGGGCCAATCTCCGTCCGGCCCGAGGAAACCTTTGCACGCCTCCGTTACCTTTTGGGAGGCCTACGCCCCATAGAAATTGTCTACCTGAGACTGTCCCTTGGCCCGTACGTCCTGACACAAGGTTAGAATTCTAGCTCTTCCAGAGTGGTATCTCACTGATGGCTCAGACCCCCCCGGAAGGAGGCCTTCTTCGCCTTCCACCTAAGCTGCGCAGGAAAGGCCCAAAGCCAATCCCAGGGAATAGTGAAGCTTCATAGGGTCTTTCTGTCCAGGTGCAGGTAGTCCGCATCTTCACAGACATGTCTATTTCACCGAGCCTCTCTCCGAGACAGTGCCAAGTGAGAGAAAAAGAGACTTTCCAGTTTTTATGAACATCTCAAAATAAAAACTTCTTGCATTTTCATAGGAGTAGTAGAAACCCAATCGGGCATTACACATTACTTAGGGGCAATCAACTAAAAGTAGGTAAAAGAATAAGAGAAACACTTGCACGAAGCAAATATCTAATACAAACAGATAATAGTTGTTCTTACCAAATCAAACCACAAAAAGTGCTCCAATATAAAAAAGAACACACCTGATATCTGCTCATAATCCCAACCTTGATGTCAGGGTATTTGGAAAATCTCTCTGAGATAACACCAAAATGCTGTTTAGCCAAAACAATGGTGGGTGCTAATAACATGGCCTGCTTCCCAGCTGAAACCACGCAAAAGATGGCACGTTGAGCAACTTCAGTCTTGCCAAAGCCGACATCTCCACAGATCAATCTATCCATTGGAGTTTCTCTCTCTGTCAAATCCTTCTCAACATCAATAAAGGCCTGTCACGAGGATGAAGATTTGAGACTATTATACACTACAAGAAATGGCATTGACATCAACAATAATCCTGTTATCCATATAAAGAGGTGAACTCCCTAGAGTTCTTTAGACACAAATAAGTCCGCCCATGCATTCCCATCTAAGGCTCTGACTACTTCGGTATAAATTTCACTCGCTCAAATCTTTCTTAACTACTTTCCTCACATCAATTTTGGCTGGCGTCTGCCTGTCTTAACAATCTTCTCTTCATACAAGTTTCCTCTTCTAATTAGTGCATTCAAGGTCTATGTTTCCAACTTATCTAACGGGTATTTCCTCAATTTCTCCTCTTGTGTACATGTTTCTCAAAGACCTTGCATTTTGTCTTATAAAATCTAACAAATATGACTAACATCCATGGCATTTTTTTCATCATTTAGTAAAATCTAATCCCAAATAACAACAAAAAATATCATTGCTGACGGCCTCTCTGGACAAGTTTATCACATCATTCGCTTCCATATCAACACTACTGAAGTTGCTGTTTGTGTAGTAAGGATTAAGCTAAAACCTCGGATTCTGGGGCATTTCTCCATACCTCCAATTTTAACACTTTGGCTAGTCTCACTAATCAATACAATATTATTACCAAATATACTACACAACAGTGTATCATCTTACAAGCAAGCTCATGCTCATCCATCTTCTAGTTCAAAATAAGTTCAATTACCTTTATTTTCAAAGACAAAGATTGCTATTCCAAATGTTTTACAGGTTTAAAACCAAAAAAACAACTAACATGTTATATTTACAAAAGAACCCGTTACAAATCAAACAATAAAGTAAAACTCTTCGGTCATCTATCAGCATTATAAAAGTTGGCCCATAAATTATACTCAAACTCTTACTGCATCCTCACCCAAGAAAGAAAATAAAAAAGAATGAGGAAGACCTGTTGCTGATCAGGCGTGGGATCATAAGGAAATTGAGAAACAAATTCAGCCATTCCCGGATTCTTTGGGTATGGAGGCCTCTTCCGTCTTAATCTGTTTAGATACACCTCCATCAAATCAACAACCATCTTCTGAACAGCAACTTTCCCTTTGATCCTTCTCTTCTCCCACCCACTTGTGTCCTTCAGTCTGCCCAAACCTCGAGGCGCTCTGTTTTCATTTGGACTGCAAGAAAGGTCGTTTTAAGGTTTCCAAGCATGAAAACTGGTAGTTTCACATGGTTTGTAACATACAACAAAGAATTTCCGGCAAAATATCGACCAATTAAGTAGTAATCAAGTTGAGGAACTAAATGACAACGAAGAAAAAAGGAAGAAGTATACATACAGATTATAGCGATATAGGAATCGAGAGGCTTGCTTAACAGGGAGCTTAGCCACTCCGTCAGCATACTGTATGTATACGTAGTCAATTGGGGCAGTAGAGCCCTCGGGAATGCTAGGTCTGATTGATATAAAACGACCTATTCCAACTTTCTTATGAACAACATAATCACCTTCTTCAAGAGTGAAAGGATCAACCTTATAACTGTAACCAGCCTCAGCATCAGTAGAAGCACCCATTGTAATCAAATGACCTTTTTTCAATTCCCGCAATCCCCTTTGTTGCTGTTGTTTCACCAGCTGGATGTACTTGTCAACCTCTTCATTCGTTACATTGGCACTGGAATTGGAATCAGATATGTGGTTCGGTCTCCCTGAAGCTCGTTTCGTGGATTGCTCCCGAAGAATCCTTTCGTTGAATATGGAAATGGGGTCATTCTCAGATTCCTGGCTGTCAAACCGAGCAGTACGATTGGGATCAGTAGCGATGGAACTGACACCGGTGAGAGATGAAAACGGAGAGGATGAATAACTCCGGCTGTGGAGGAAGTAGTGGTTACCGAGTGTAGAAGAGAAAATTCCTCTTCCGCCTCTGAGGAATGGCGTCCATAGCCTGAAAGAAGAAGCATAAGGAGAAGGAAGTGGTGGCGGAGGAGAGGAGACGCAAGCTATGGGCTTGACGATAAGAGTAGCCGCCATTGCCGGAGCAGACAACCAGTACTTAAGCCGATAAGCCGAGGAGACAGGAGAATTGTGTTTTCAGCTTATCATTAATAAAAAATTTCTTTCCTATTTTAATAAATAAAAATAAAAATAAAAACATTAATAGAATAGCAAAGATATAACAATTTTAGTACTTTAAGTTATATTTTTTGCAATTTTAGTCCACATTTTAATATTTTGTAACATTCAAGTCTATGCCGTTAGTAACATCCGTTATTTGAAGGGCAAAATGGGTATATATCCTTTGATTTCATCTTCAACTCAAACACAATGAGAATCATCAAGTCCAATTTCTTTCTCTTTGATTTCATTTGTTTTTTAGTTATTATAATGAAAGCCTAAAGACTATTTTTATATCTTAACAAAAATACAAATAAGTTTACTGGATATTAGTACAACTATATTTTCATACATATAGAAAACAGGTTACTTTTATTAAGAGTGATGCAAACGGAAATCAAACTAGAGTTTAGATGGTTCTCCAACATGGGTTAAGCCCATAGGTCGGGATATTGTACATCCAATCCCTTCTGGACCTTGTTTTGGAATGAGATATATTGGATTTGTTTAGTTTGGTATCAGCGTATGATCAATCTTAGAAGATGAATTTCTAAGACTGATGGCAGTTGAAACTTGGAAAAGACCCAACCAACCGCAATGCAAGTTTAACACCCAACATTTAGAATACGAGCATGCAATAATATACAGTTGTACCTGCAGACTGTAGCTTTAATCTGACAGGTAAGGAAGTAAGCATCCTTACATAATTGTCTAAAACTATGTCAAATGCCAAAGAAATACCAACAAAGAAGTTTGAAACCAAGAGGTTTGTGTCATACACTATAACACAATATGATCATCTTGCAATCTCTAATGGGCTATACATCTCTAAATATATGTGCAAGAGATACATGGAGTGTTTCTTCTTACTCGTTCACAAACCCGCCTTTCATCGACTACTAAGGAGAAAAACGAGCCAAATTTACAGCATTTTTTTCAAGCATCAGGGGCGGGAAGGCTACAGGAAGATGCCAGCAGGAACCATGAGACCAAAGGAAGTAGTACTCATAGGTCCATTAACATGGCAATTAGTCGACATTAGTTGACACTCTTCGCCTTCTTGGGTCATTGGCGCCTCTTCTTTCATTTCGACCAGCATCTCGTGTTCCCTCTTGTTTTTTCCGTCTTCCATCACTCTTACAAATTCTCCCAGAGCACTGCGCATCCACTCATAGCGACACAATACGGATGCTTCCTCAATCGCCACCTGTGGCCCAATATGTAAATCGTTTTTCCACACTAGAATAGCATATGGCAAAATGCATCAAAATGCAATGAGGTTTGCATTAATTCCTATATAGTGTAATAAAGATTTTTTTTTCTCAACCAATGTAATAAAGTTTCAAAAATTTCCTATTTTGACCGCTAGCCTGCTAATCTTGTAATATTTGATGACGTGGATGCAAAGTTTATCGTCCCCTTCGTCGTACCTTTTCGTAAACGGGTACCCATGTCAGCATATTAGCGGTCAAAATGAGTTCAAAGTAGAAAATCTTATAACTTTGTTAAAGAGAAAAAAAACTTCTTTACACAAGATAGGAGCTAAACAAAATGTTGTTCTTTTCTAATGCATTTTTCCCCGACTTATACGACGACTTAAATTGACTCCATACTTACCCATTTTCTGTTGCGGTTATGTTGCTCCGGCCATGCTTCAAGCTCCTCGGTCACCTCTAATGCAAACAGGTATCCCTTGCATCCCCCTTCTTCGCTACAAGCTTCTTGTTTGCTCTTACTTCTAAACTCCCACTCTCCAAGAGAATTTCCCTACAGGCCAAGAATCTCAAAAACCGTCTTAGATGCTCAATTCCCATGTTTTTTTCCAGACAATATTATACCATTGTCAACACCCTCTGTATGGGGTAGAGGAAAGATATGCGTACATCTTACAGTCTTACCCCTGCCAAACCACTTTATGGTCAATAACCTCTATACTACGTGGGGTAGAGGAAAGATATGTATACATCCTACCCTACCAGACTATAGTTCCAAGTGGGATAAACTGAGTAAGTTTGGTTTGCGTTTTATTATACCATGGTCAACTCTTGCAAAATAAATTGAACAGTGATACCCAATTGTGACACATTACCAGCTGGTATTATTGCCTTTTGGTCTCCAGTGTCTTCTTAAAATTGCTAATAGTTACACTCATTCAGGTAGTAATTTTTCTAATCGCCAAAATAGCAAGAATTAACGAACACTTCAGATAATTAAAATACAGAACACACAACCTACCTTTAGAATTCCTCTTACTCCAGCTTCCTCTAACGCTTCGCGACATGCAGCTTCTTCAACAGTCTCGTCGCTCTCCCATCCACCCTGAGAATAAGTACACTGAAAAGAATAAGTTTTATGGTGGATGCATACTTAACCAAACCAAACAAACCTAGTATATCCCACCTTGAGGTGGGGTCCGGAGAGGTAAGATTTACACAAACATGATCTCTACCTCAAAGAATAAAACAGTTGTATGTCAAAAGTAACCATATTGAAGCAGAAGAAGATACATACCTTTGGGAATACCATATCATTGCGGTTTGGTGAAGATACCATCAGTACTTCTATTCTGTTCTTCACATTAATGCGTTGGTCTTCAGTTTTGGCCAGTCTGTATGGAATACACCTGTTGTATAGATGTTGATAATAATCACACACTAGAAAGAGCATGCTCTGTTATAAAGGTTGACTGTAGAAAACCATTTGTTTGCAATTGATTTTCTGCTTGCAGGTCAAATAATACCAACAGCAAAGCATTTTAAGAGAAGTAAATGGCATAACTCTCTGATCAGTTCAAGATATCTATAAGTAATTCAACACATAGACAATTACAGTTTGAGTGGTACCCTTGTCCATTGAATGTGGAATTCAAGTAGTAAGCATTGATTAGGCGCATATGAAAACCTGCTACATTAACAGAAAAAGTTGCATTATTTCAATATAATGCCTGGTAGCCTTCCCAAAAAATTTCTGGAGCAAGATTATCGAATTCATGAGCGATGTGGGACAATCTTCATACCAACAGGACCTCCTTCGGGTGGCAACTATGGATGATGGATCTCTTCATCGATGAAGAATGGAGGCTGGAGGAAAGAGTTTGATTTAGAAAGAAGATTACCGGTGTCTCTATGACCAACAAGAGTTCACCTATCTGCAACTTCTAGTGATTTCTGCACTTGCAGGCCATTTCTCCTAAATGACAACAGAAAAGAAAGAATCTACCACCCATATGAAAAGAACCCGGGTACAGCTTTTATTCAGCCTTCATAGATGTTCCCAGTAGCAAAAACTAACCCGACACCAGTCATTCTTATTCTCCCTCCTAATCATAGCCTAATGAATTACATCCAAATTTCGAGCTCAATAACCTTGAGGGTCAATTTAACCGCAAATAAAGGCTAGGTGTTGGCCTCCTTCCTGTAGGTCATCGGTTTGAGTCTCCACAGGTCCAGTCAAGATTTTCTGGGTTGTTATCTACCCATGGGATTAGTTGAGGTGTTTGATAAAAAACTAATATCAAACACGAACTCTTATACTTAGATTAAGAGAAGAATTTATTTTTTAACTTGGTGAACCTGGTAAAAAAGTAAACAGTATCATAGTTAAGAGTTATCAGGTTAACCATTTCTGAATTAAAAATGTGGCATGTTTTGTCCTATTCAAGAACAAAAACTTTTGCTGTAGTTATCCATATATGAAGAATTTTTTTATTGTTGATTCTCGTTGCCACGATAATCAAAGCAGGACCTTGTGAAGGGGAGGATAAGAAAGCAAGTCGGTCATACCATTTGTATAGCATAAGAAATTGAATTCAGAAGAAAGAAAAAAACTAGCACGGATTAAAGGACAAATGGTGATTAAAGTCGTTACTGATTATATAGAATTGCAACCACGTCTGTGTTGGATCTCCAATATTAACCATGATGAATTTCTATTAGCAAGTTTTGAAATCCAAAGAGATTGGTTGATATAAGATTCCTAAGCATCAGGTATTTTAATTGGTATAAAATGTGAAAGAATTCAATTCGATTCAGTTCAATTCAATTCAAATATGATTTGATTATGGTGGATAGATAGATAGATAGATAAGATACCCAGAAACAAGGCGAAGGTTGTTGTCGTAACGCTGAAGATGGCGACCGGTTCTTGCTACAATAGATGACATGATAACCGATGAATCCTTCCAAAAGCACCACGAAATCGATCATTAATTGTAAAAAAAAAGTAAAAAGAAAAACAGAAAACAGGAACCGGTGACGCATACCGTATAAATATACGTGAGGAGGCAAGATCAAAATGGGAAATCCATGGCGGTGAATCGAGAATCCAAAAAGAGTTGTGAAATCAATATCATGAAAGAAGCGATAGTATAAATATGAAGGAGAGGGAGAGGGATTCTCGCGGGACCGTTAAATTGTAGCAACAAAATGTGAATCACAATTCATAATCATTTGATTGTTGTGAACTCCCTCCATTGTTACGTGGAGGTTGATGTTGATGGTTGCATCCATAACTACAAAACCAATGCGTTTACTTGGGAGTCAACCTCTCTCGGAACCTTGTGAATGCTCCCCCAAAGACAGGTCATTCTTTTTTCATATGACTCCAAAAATAGTGATATTAAAATGTAACTTTTCGTTTTATTTGTATTTGGACTTACGGTTTTAAAACGTGTTTGATTGAAAAAGTATCCGGTCCTTTAAGTGGCAACTGATTCATAGAAATATAATTTGTTGGAATTGAAATCCGTAAAAAGAGATTTGACTCTGCAAGAATTAGAATAGAATTTGATGGAATTTGAAGACACGTTTTATTGATAGAAATTTGAAATGAGTGGAATTTGCATGTGTTCATGGATGTGATGAGGACAATGGTGACATGGTGGTGTCGAGGTGGGGGGTAGGTGGTTGTTTGTGACGTCGACAATAATGTGGTGGTGGGTGAGGGTCTTTTTAAAACGACTTATAACATTTGTCACGAAACGGAATTCAATCTTTAACTTATGTCAAGGAATGATCAAATCATTCGACCTTGGAGTTTAGCGGAATCCAATCAATTCAATTTGTGAACCAAACATCATCAAAAAAATTGGTCGAAGAAATTTGTCATTTCAATTCCATCAAATTCATTCAAATTTCGCAAACCAGACAACCCCTTAGAACATCTCCAACATTTATCTAAAATAGAGAAAGTAAGGTTTTTGTTAATAATTTTACTCTAACAAATTATCTAAAATGGAGATTCTATGGGTTTTCATGTCAACTCATTGTCTATGTAGGTTTTTGTTAATAATTTTACTCTAACAAATTAAGTAACATTTTGATTTAAATTTACCTTTTGTACTAGGTTTTCATGTCACCTCATTGTCTATGTAGGTCGTCCTTATGTACTATACTGTTGACGTGACATTTCATATTATGACATTGTACTTTCAAAATTATTTTATTATAGCATCATTGGTTCCTATTATAACATTATATTTTTAGTTTTACTATTTTATTATTTAGACATTGTATATTTAATCAAACATGTTTACCTAAATTTAGTATCTGTTTCTGTTTCTAAATTTTAATTAGAAATTTGATCTCCCAAAATCGAGATTATAACAATGGATAACATTTTGATTTGAATTAAAATAACATGACATAAGTTACCAGTTTTTCATATCATATCATTGTACACATACGATGTCCATGTATAAAATTTTGCTGACGTAACATTTCTTACAGGATGGACTCAATCGAGCAGCCAACCACTTTCCATTTCTTAGTTGAGTTGAACTGTATATTCTCTGTGTTAGTTAAAGAAGATAGCCCAAAGCAAAAGGCCTACAACCAGAGCCTAAAGAAGAAGCTGATAACTCACCGTGACTATTGAAGGCTAGAGGAGCATTGCTAACATGATCCTATTACACATTATATTTTGAAAAAAAAAATTTGATTTTACATATTAATTAATAAATATATTAAATGAAATAGGAAAATTTCTAAATTATTCATTAATAAATCAATATCAAGAAAACTGTAGAACACAATTGATCTCGCTAACATTTTTTAAAAATATGTATTTTTTTTAAAAAGAAAAAAAAGAATTGTTACATTTCTTACAAATATATTTATCTTTAAAGAATTTATCATAGTTGTTTACAAAAAGTTGCTTGAGAATAAATATATTAAAGGGTTAAATGCATAAAATAGCAACCTACTTTCATAAAATTTCTTATTATAGCATTTTACTTTTGTTTTTCTTTATTACATCAATGTACTTTCAAATTATTTTTTATTAAGGCATTGTACTTTGAAAAATCTAACCATAATAGCAATGGGTAACCTGTTACCTTTTAAACCGGTTAACCCTTTGAMTTTTTGCTTGTGTGGCTTTAATAAGTTGATGTGGATGCCACATCATTTTGATGACTTAACTAAAATTAAAATAAAAACMTATTTCAAATTATTATTAGTGATTTTCATTTTTCATTGCTATTATCTAAAAAAATATATCTAAAAAAATATTTACTTTTTTTTACTTTTTCTTATTAAGTTGCATTCAAATTAAATATTCTTAGAGTAAAATATTTATTAAGTAAAAATGAAACATTATTTTCGAGATATATTTTGTTTGTAAAAAAGGTAAATTTTTCTATTTTATGTTATTCAAATAAATACATAATATTTAAAGTTCTCTTTAAAATATTAACGAAATAAATTGTTATCTATAATTTTTTAATATTATTATATTAATAAGTAATTTAAAAAAGCTTAATTAATATAATATATTTATTCGTCAGTTTTTGAACAAATATAATATATATTATTTAAAAGAT